CTTGTTGATGTCACAAAAGATACTAAAGCTCAAAAAGCATTGTAAGCTATTTGAATGGGAATCGAACTAAAACGAACTATCAATCTCGCACTAAATTTGTATTTCTCAGCAATTCCTATTTTTTTTGATATTTGGATCGTGGCCAATATCTTTAGGGTACTTTCTGGCGTATCGTTTGCATATAATTGCAGATATTGGTCAATTACCTGTACAAGAACCACAGGTCTTAATGGGTTTTGAAAAGACGTCTTCAACCATGGGTCACAATCACATGCTAAAACAATTAAATGAAGGCCCAGAGGGTAGAACTGGAAATTGGATTTGATAGCCGCTTCATTATCAGTTAGCATTATTTTACAAATCTTTCAAATGACAGTTGCAAGCTATTGGAATGGGAATCGAATTAACTGTTTCGGCAATTCCTTTTTTTTGTTATTTGGATCGTGGCCAATGTCTTTAGGCTCCTTTTTGGGGCATATAGTTTGCATATAATTGCAGTTGGGTTAATTACCTGCACAAGAACCACAGGTCTTAATGAGTTTTGAAAAGACGTCTTGAGTCATGGGTCACATGCTAAAACAAATAAATAAATCAATGCCCCGTGGTTGGTATAACTGGTAATTATTGGATTTCATGGCCGTTTTATTATGTTTTTATGATGAGTTTTGAAAAGAAGTCTTCAACCATGTGTCACAGGCTAAAACAATTAAATAAAAGCCCCAGTTGGTGGAACTGAAAAATTGGATTTTATGGCCGTTTTATTATCAGTTAATTAGCATTATTTTACAAATCCTTTAAATTTTCGCAAAGCACCGAGTCGGGATATATATGTTATTTTATTTGGTGTAAGAGTCAGACAATATAAAAATAAAAGTCAAGGGCAATCTATAATGGATAACGTTAAATTGACGTGCACCACCTCATGACAAAGTCTAGATAAATATGATTAAAGTGTTCCTGAGGCTGGTTTCGAGTTTAATATTGGAAAAAAATATTATTTCATTTGTTATTTAATTTCTTTTTTTCCTAGCAAGTTATTCACTTTGAAAGACACATCTCACAACCAAATCCAGCGACGTTTAGTTATTGAATTATTGCTTCATAAAATTAGAATTATGATGCTGCCGGACAATATTTCGGCTCTCGAATGGCAGGTTCATTATGCGGAAATGAAAACCCTTTTTCAGAGAGTTGGAGACACCCAAAAATTGAAATTTTTGGTTTAAACATAATATACAAACTAAAAATTTGTTATAGGGAAAAATCCTGTTAAAAAATAATATTATTTCATTTGTTATTTACTATTTTTTTCCTAGCAATATCAAAGTTATTCACTTTGAAAGACACATCTCACAACCGAATCCAGCGACGTTCAGTCATTGAATTATATTGCTTCATAAAATTTGAATTATAATGCTGCCGGACAATATTTTGGCTCTCGAAGGCGGGTTCATTATGCGGAAAATGAAAACCCTTTTTCAGACATTTGATGGTTTAAACATAATATACAAACTGAAAATTTGTTATATGAAAACAATTCTTGTTTTGAGGAGTACATATATAGATATTACATTTTGTGAAGTAGTAATAGGAGCGCGTGTCCACATGATAATATATATATTTGGCAGAATATTTCAATTGTGTTGTTCTTAATTTGATTCGACAGTAATCTGACCAATCTCCCGCTCGTGTCCATTCCCCCGGGTACGTTTGGTGAACTCTCCAATCTCCAAGGCCTGTAAGTTTGATGTGGTTCGTATCTTTGTTTTTGTTAATTGAAGAGTATGTATACTGCAAGCTCTATTTGGATCTTAAACTATCTATATAGGAACCCATCTCACTCTCACCAAAGCTACCGTTAACCATTTCAATAAACGTAAAAAAAGGGGCTTTTTCGGTCATTTGTGATTTTTGTTATACAAAAACAGTTGTAAAACCTAAAAAAAAAAAAAAAGTCACGTTATGTAATGGACATTGTGATATTTAAGTATTATCAATTCCTTGAGTTTTTTTTTCTGAGCAATCTGATATGACTTCAACGGGGAAGTCACAACATTGATTTCTTTAAAACAAATAATTGTGTAACAGATCATATTGTGCAAAGCACCGAGTATGCTGGGATAATATCCTGGCAATTAAAACTTTATTTTATTTGAGGTAAGAGTCAAAAAATATAAAAATAAAAGTCAACCCCAATCAATAATGGATCACGTTAAAGTGACTTGCACCACCTCATGACAAAGATTGGACTACTATAATCAAAGATGTGTTTGCGGTGCTGGTTTCTAGTTTCAAATCGAGAAAACAAATGATTTCATGTTATTAAATTCCTTTTTTTCCCTAGCATATAAAGGTTATTCACTTTGAAAGACACATTTAACAACCAAATCCAGCGACGTTTAGTTATTGAATTATTGCTTCATAAAATTTGAATTATGATGCTGCCGGACAATATTTCGGCTCTCGAATGGCGGGTTCATTATGCGGAAAATGAAAACCCCTTTTCAGAGAGTTGGAGACACCCAAAAATTGAAATATTTGGTTAAAACATAATATACAAACTAAAAAATTATTATTGGGAAAAATCCTGTTTTGAGGAGTACATATATATGGATATTACATTTTGTGAGGTATAGGAGCGCGTATCCCAACGATAATATCAATATTTTACCGAATATTTCAATTGTGTTGTTCTCAATTGGATTCGACAGTATTAGTAATTCTTTGAGTTTTTTCTGAGCAATCCGATATGACTTCAACGGGGAAGTCACAACATTGATTTCTTTAAAACAAATAATTGTGTAACAGATCATAATAACTACTTCCACCACAATGTGTTTTCAAATGAAATAATATATATGTTTGCAATGTGATGTCTTTGGAGTGTAAATTAGAAATATTTTGCTGTACAGGGCGTCCCCAAAAGGTAAACCACAAACAAAGGTATAATATGAGCAAGTTATGTGAACTCAACGACCATTATTTGATGGCTTTATAAAATAATGACCAGAGGAATGCATGACCAGAGGAATGCATCCAAAATACTTTTGGAAAAGTAACTGCATTCAGTTTATGTCAAAACCATAGTGATGGTCCTTAATTTCATAGTTTGGTCAAATTGATCCTTTTTTTGTGTGATACCTCTTTGTGAGAGGACACCCTGTGTATTTCAACTCCGTTTATTCTTTACTTGACTTGACAGTGTGTTGGAAAATCTTCCTGTAGAGTCGATTCCTGCCGACACGTTTAGCGGGCTGTTCAATCTTCAATATATGTAAGTTTGATACGACTCCTGTTTGTTTATGATGTCACAGCAGAGAGTGCAATTTCAATTTGCATATCATAAGCGTTGGGCATCAATCTGACTCTCTCCATAGTTACCATTAACCATTTTCTTTCCAGTGACAATAGCGTATCCAGCTTTTGATATCAGGCGGGGGGGGGGGGGGGAACCGCACATCCGCGCCGAAATGTAGAAACAAAAAATTCTCCGGACACTTGGCCTCCGTAAAATAAAAAGGCGGGCGGGGGGGGGGGGGGGAGGGACTATTATCTATCTTCCAAATGGGGGCACTCGTCAAAACTGACCGTTATTGTGCATACTGGAAAAGCTATGTCAATTTTCATTGCGCATCGTAATGATTTTTGAGCTGGTTTTTGTTTTAGGTTGATGTCAGAAATCTCTAACCATTTATGGAAACACTTAATGAAAAACAAATATTTCAAAATAATCCGCCAAGGGGGGAGGGGGGGGGGGAGTTGCCCCCTCTGCCACCCCCTGGATACGCCACTGTCGAGTGAGAGTAACATGTGTCCATTAAATCTTTGGTCATTTGTTTTAAATTTGGTTTATATATACAAACTCAGTTGTTCAACCTAGTAAATATATACAGTCAGGTTATGTAATGGACCTTTGTGTGATTGAAGTGATATCAATTCTCTGTCTTTTTTCCTTCTGTTTTTTTCCCCCAATCTGATAAGACTTCAATAGGGAAGTCACAATATTGATTTGTTTTTAAAATTAACAACATAGATGTAACAGATGATAATAACTACTTCCATCACAATGTGTGCTCAAACGAAATAATATATTATGCTGCTATGTGATGTCTTTGGAATAGTATATTAGAAATATTTTGCTGTATATGATTTCCCCCAAAAAGAAAACTACAAAGGTATAATATGAACTAAGCGAGAACCAGAGGGGTGCATTTAATATATCATTGGAAAGCTTACTGCTTTAATGGTTATTAGGACAAAAAAAAAAGTCTCCGGTTTCTGGTATGCGCACGTGTCGCTGTAGCCATGCGCGTCGGCAAAATGAAAACGTTTTTTTTTAATGAAAGATGATGTCTCAAAACCGCCAAATTGACTGGTTTGACTGGAATCCTGCTGCTGCACAATTTTAACGTATTTTTAGATGGGGTTATGATCGAGAATAAGCTTTATATGGCTTTTCTTGACTCCCATGCATTTGCACTAAGTCTAGTCGGGCACCATTTGCAGTCATCAGCCGAAATTTGAGGCAAAAAATCAGGTAAAAAAAAAAAAGCCGCGTCGCTGCACCACTTTTTGGGCAAGCTCCACACCAGAAACCGGAGACTTTTTTTTTTGGCCTTAAGTTCATACTTCGGTTATCATCCCTTTCTTTGTGTGATACCTTTTTTGAGAGGACACCCTGTGTATTTTATGTCCGTTTATTCTTTACTTGACTTGACAGTTGGATGGACAGGCTTCCTCTAGCGTCGATTACCAACGACACATTTAGCGGGCTGATCAAACTCCACCAGCTGTAAGTTTGAAACGACTCCTGTTTGTTTATGATGTCACAGCACAAAATGCAATTTTAATTTGCATATCATAAGCGTTGGGCATCAATCTGACTCTCTCCATAGTTACTGAAGTGAAGCGACGCGTGTGCGTCGGTTCCGCTTTTACGTGAGCAGTCAGCCCATGTGGTTTGAGGTTTGATGCCTCGGTAAGGAAGACTGTACAAAATGTTGATGTTCACTGAGCTTTTATTCTAGTTCCAGTAAATAATCCCAGCAAGATAATCCTGGCGAATTAGTTCCAGCAAATTAATCGCAGCAAATTAAAAACCTAAATGAAAATGATAGTGTTTACGATTGTAAATACATGTGATTACAATAAACACAATGTTTTGAATTCACTTGACAATAAAGTTATTATATCAACATGAATGTGAATACAGTTGCATGTAGTGTCACTGTCCGATATGGCACGGAGCTATAAAACTTACCCAGCACCTCGTCTATGTGCAGTTATACAAATGTAAATCTCAGGTGCGGGAGGCTACAGAGCTTCTGTAATACAATGTTAAAATTATACAATATAAATGACATATAAGGGGATGATATGATATTAAATAACCCACAAATTACATCTGAAAAAGTACCCAAATGATTATTGTTATTGCTTTGTGAGCCCCTAAGATATACATGTAACGTGAGAATCGTATGTACGCGCGCCACAGTGATAAGCTGGGGTCAAGGGTCATGCGAATCCAAACAATGCAGTGCAGAATGTATGCAACTTACATGCCCTGTGGCGCTACGTGTACAGTGCACAGAGAAACGTATCACGTGGAGAAAGTTTTCAGACTTTGTCCACGGACAAGACCATCAGAAAATTCCCATTTGTGTCAATAATAAGAATGACATAACATGAAAATGAATATGAACATACCCAGTAGTTGATTATTGTTAGCCTGGTATATGTGGGTTGTCTGGCTCGATTCCTGGAGCTTGTAAAATGATGTGTTTTCGGCATAAATTCAAAGAGGCAGCTCACAGAAAACGCATTAAGACAACAGAGAGAGAGAAAAGTGGGCGGAGCGTCAGAAGACGCTTATCAATATTCATGATCCCTACATTACCATTAACCATTTTCTTTCGAGTGACAGTAGCGTATCCAGACTTTGATATCAGGCGGGGGGGGGGGGGGGGGCAACCGCACATCCGCGCCGAAATGTAGAAGAATTTTTTTCTTCTCCGGACACTTGGCCTCCGTAAAATAAAAAAGTAGGGGGAGGGGGAGACTATTACCTTTCTTCCAAATGGAGGCGCTCGTCAAAACTGACCATTATTGTGCATACTGGAAAAGCTATGCCGATTTTCATGGCGCATCGTAATGATTTTTGAGCTGTTTTTTTTTTTAAGTTGATGTCAGAAATCTCTAACCATTGATGGAAACACTTACTGAAGAACAAATATTTCAAAAAAAATCCGCCAGGGGGGGGGGGGGGGGGGAGTTGCAACTTCTGCCCTCCCCCCTCTGGATACGCCACTGTCGAGTGAGAGTAACATGTGTCCATTAAAATAGCTGTTTAGTTCCAGAAGACTTTAACAAAAAGGAGTTAATCAGGTTCCTTTTACTTTGATTGAACAAAATAAAACTGTTTTTTTTTATGTATTGTTTGGAATTAATCGAAATTGGGTACTTGAATTCTTCCCAAGTAATAGTTGCCCACACATTTATTATAGACTTTGAAAAAAGGCCTACTTGCAAATTATAATATTAATTCATCTACTAATTTTTCACGAATTAACTTGAATGAATATCTTCATGGACCACACATTTTAATATTTCTCGATGGGAGAAATAAAAAAACAAATCTAAATCTATCGAATGTTTAAATAAAAAATGAAGTGGAATTTGAGGTACATATACCGTGCTGATATTTCAACTGAAAAGTGACAATCATTACTTTGAATAGAAAGTACCCTTTAATAGTACTTTTAACACAATCTAAATTTACAGATTTTGAAGAGTATTCCAGCTTTGTTATATATTTTTCATTTGATTCGACAGAGAATCCAGTGGGTAGAACTGGAAATTGGATTTGATAGCCGCTTTATTATCAGTTGGCGTTATTTTACAAATCTTTTCAAATGTTCGCAAAGCACCGAATATATGCTGGGATTATATCCTGCCAATTAAATTTTTTATTTTATTTGGGTCAAGAGTCAGAAAAATATTTAAAAAAAAGTCAACCCCAATCTATAATGGATCACTTTAAATTCACTTGCACCACCTCATGACATCAATCGGAAGATGTGTTGATTGTGCTTGTTTCGAGTTTCAAATCGAAAAAAAAATAATATTTGTTATTCCGTTTCTTTTTTTTAAGGTCATTAACGTTGAAAGACACAACTAGCAACCAAATTCACCGAACTTTAGTTATTGAATTGTTGCTTCATAAATTTGAATTATTTGCTGCCGGACAATATTTCCGCTATCGATTGGCGGGTTCATTTATCCGCAAAATGAAAACCTTTTTTCAGAGAGTTGGAGACATCCAAAATCGGACTTGTTTAGTTTAACATAACATACAAACTGAAACTTTGTTACAGGGGAAAAAAATCCTTTTTTAAAAGAGAACATGTATGGATTTTAAATTTTGTGAAGTAATTATAAGATCGCTTATCCCCATGGTAATATTATTGATTCGACAGTTATCTGATCAATCTGCCGCTCGTGTCGATTTTCCCCCTCACCTTTGGTGGACTCTCCAATCTCCAAGGCCTGTAAGTTTGATGTGGTTCGTGTTTTAGTCGTTGTTAATTAAAGTGTACTATGCAAGCTTTATGTGTTTCTTAAGCTATCTAAATAGGAACCAAACTCACTCCTACAAAAGCGAACGTTAACCACCTTAATAATTTACAAAAAGGTCTTTTGTGGTCATTTGTTTTAAATTTGGTTTATATATACAAACACAGTTGTTCAACTTAGTAAATATATACAGTCAGGTTATGTAATGGACCTTTGTGATATTTAAGTGATATCAATTCTCTGTCTTTTCTCCTTCTGTCTTTTTTCCAATCTGATAAGACTTCAATAGGGAAGTCACAATATTGATTTGTTTTTAAAATTAACAACATAGATGTAACAGATGATAATAACTACTTCCATCACAATGTGTCATCAAACGAAATAATATAATATGCTGCGATGTGATGTCTTTGGAATAGTATTCAATTTTATCACTAAATGATCAAATTATTTATAAGCAGCAAAATTTCCATTGATCTTCTCCTGTTGGTTATATCATATGCGTTGTGCAAAATGTAGGCTAACTCCATGCACACATCTCGATCACTGTGAATGCATTTCATACTGTACTTTCGTATGAAGAACTTTGTACATGACACCCTATTGACAATTGTGTGACAAAAGTGAGATCCTGTAAACAGGAGAATAGCCAATCAACAGCCACGAGTTTTAACCAATTGCTTAGAAGGCTTGGAGGGGCATCCAACCAATAAGAATTCTTGTTCTGTGACACTTGGCAAGGCCTGGCTATGGGCCAATGTAGGGTTGGTTCTTTACATTCTAGAAGTAAAATCCTTTTTTAAAAGAGAACATGTATGGATTTTAAATTTTGTGAAGTTTAACATAACATACAAACTGAAACTTTGTTACAGGGGAAAAAATCCTTTTTTAAAAGAGAACATGTATGGATTTTAAATTTTGTGAAGTAATTATAAGATCGCTTATCCCCATGGTAATATTATTGATTCGACAGTTATCTGATCAATCTGCCGCTCGTGTCGATTTTCCCCCTCACCTTTGGTGGACTCTCCAATCTCCAAGGCCTGTAAGTTTGATGTGGTTCGTGTTTTAGTCGATGTTAATTAAAGTGTACTATGCAAGCTTTATGTGTTTCTTAAGCTATCTAAATAGGAACCAAACTCACTCCTACAAAAGCGAACGTTAACCACCTTAATAATTTACAAAAAGGTCTTTTGTGGTCATTTGTTTTAAATTTGGTTTATATATACAAACACAGTTGTTCAACCTAGTAAATATATACAGTCAGGTTATGTAATGGACCTTTGTGATATTTAAGTGATATCAATTCTCTGTCTTTTTCTCCTTCTGTCTTTTTTCCAATCTGATAAGACTTCAATAGGGAAGTCACAATATTGATTTGTTTTTAAAATTAACAACATAGATGTAACAGATGATAATAACTACTTCCATCACAATGTGTCATCAAACGAAATAATATAATATGCTGCGATGTGATGTCTTTGGAATAGTATTCAATTTTATCACTAAATGATCAAATTATTTATAAGCAGCAAAATTTCCATTGATCTTCTCCTGTTGGTTATATCATATGCGTTGTGCAAAATGTAGGCTAACTCCATGCACACATCTCGATCACTGTGAATGCATTTCATACTGTACTTTCGTATGAAGAACTTTGTACCTGACACCCTATTGACAATTGTGTGACAAAAGTGAGATCCTGTAAACAGGAGAATAGCCAATCAACAGCCACGAGTTTTAACCAATTGCTGAGAAGGCTTGGAGGGGCATCCAACCAATAAGAATTCTTGTTCTGTGACACTTGGCAAGGCCTGGCTATGGGCCAATGTAGGGTTGGTTCTTTACATTCTAGAAGTAGAAAGTTTAGGCGGGATGGACAAGTTGCTGGCCAGTCACTTTTGTCTCAGCCTCTGAAGAAACAACTTGGATAGCAAATTTTACTTCACAATTTTTAATTCTTATACATTCTTACAAATCTGGAGTGGGCCTGGCCGGGACACAGCGTTTTTGTTTTGGGCGAGATTGGCCCGTTCCCTGTCGAAAACTTCTAAAAGGATCTTCCAGCGGGGATTGGAGCTGACTAATTAAACTGACAGATCTGACACCTGCATCAACGTTAACTTCCACCTCCTGAGCAGCAGTGTGACACCAGTGGTCAACGGCACGGACTTAACAGTGCTTGGCTGAACTCGATAAGGACAATTATCTACGTTTCACTACATCAGTTGATGAACTGTGACATTGTGGACGATGCCGCGACCAAAACGGACAGCACCACCACCGTCACGTTTAGCGGACATCGACACGGACCATGCCCATGATGGAGTACAGCCAAGTAAGCGGCGTCGAGGGGCCAAATTGTCTACCAGATCAAGTGATCAAGAATCGTCTCAAGGTATAGGGCAAGGTCCCAGTTTCGGTACGGCCACTCCTATCATTTCTGATACCACTAATATCGACAATACATTAATCCCATCCGTTGGCACACCTTTGGGTTACCATGTTTCTTTGTCTATTAAAGAAAAGATTTGGAATGGTAGTTATGTGGATATGTCCACGCTGTATCAGGAGCCTGCGGCAACCGCTATTGCTCGGGCAGAGGATGAGGAATTTGCCATCACAGTTGAGGGCAACAAAATGGTTGTCCGCAAATCCTCTGCCCTGCACCGAGGAAAGATTGACACATTTGATAAGTGGGCCTCCGCTTTCAATACATTTGTGGCAATGTTTGTGCAAAAACATCCGCAGCGCGCCCCTGAGTTGTTAAAGTATTCCGAGACTGTTCGGCTTGCGGCACGCCAGTTTCCAGGGTTCGGATGGCGTAAATACGATGAGCAGTTTCGCCTCCGCCAAGAACATAACCCCTCTCGCTCGTGGGGAGTGATTGATTCCGAACTCTGGCTGACTGTCGCGGCCGCCCAAACAGTTTCGACCATGACCGGCGGCCCGAGTGGCTCCGGCACTTTGCAACGCTCAGGCCTTGATAGTGAAGTTCCCATGGTTTCCAAACGTATCGGGGTTTGTTTTGCGTTCAATGGGGTGCACGGATGTCACTTCCGTGGATGCAAATATGTACACAAATGTAGTAAGTGTTCATGCACGGGCCATGGGGCTGCGGTATGCAAAATGGGGAGTTCGGCTGCCGGGTCCCCTTTTTCTTGGCGTATAAGGACCAAGTCCGTAAGTCCAATGATCAGGCTGGACAACACCTTTCCAAACCTGGCCAGGCTGCTTATTCCCGGCAAGCAAATAGAGTACCAGGTACTAAGGCCTCCTCTGGGATTTATTTTTGTCCCTCCAACACCAATTAAGCTCTTT